TCCTTTCCTTCAACAATCACTTATCAAGTGCCTGTGTGTCAGGTACTAACTAGACGTTGGTGACACAAACATGGGCAAGAGCCAGTCCTGCCCTCTAGTGGGCAAGACGGAAAATCAAACATTTGCAAAACAGTGTGATAGAGACGTGCAAAGATGCCTGGCTGTGTCGAGAGGCAATGGCCCCTTTCTCAAACCCAGGAAACAGTGTGTACAAAGATATGGAGGCATGAGAGAAAACGACACACTCAGGGAAGTGGAGCTAGAGGGGCATCACTGGGGCACAGAGTGCTCCCTGAGGGGTGATGAACAGTGAGGTTGGAAACATAGGCAGGGCCAGGAGGGGAAGACTTGGGTGCCACACCTAGGAGTTTTGACTTTCTCCTATCAGTAGTCAAGAATTTTCATCTGATAGTGACATAGTAGGGGGATGGATTGGGGTGGATGGTGATGGATGATTTGACAGATAGGTAGGGGGAAGGTGGCTGGATGTATGATCAGATCAACTAAGCAGTAGGGTGAGGAACAGATTGTGGGGACATAATAAAAGGTAGAAAATCCAGTTAGGAAGCCATCGCAGGGAATGAAATGAGAAATAACATAGACCTGAGCTAAGACCTGATGCAAACAGTGTACACGTGTCTACTAACCGAAAGGTTGGCAGTTTGAACTCATTCAGCAGTGCTACAGAAGAAAGGCCTGGTAGTCTGCTTCTGTAGAGATTTAAAAAAACCAAACACATTGCCATCAAGTCACAGCCAAGAAAATTCTATGGAGCAGTCCCCAAAGTGAGATGCATGTCATGTGGGTGTGAGGCAGCTCAGTGAGCTTCTGGAAGAAGATGCCCAAACCTGTTGTGGTTGAGTCCAGCTATAGCCACCCTATAAGACACAGTAGAACCATAGAGTTTCTAAGACTGTAAATCTTTAAGGAAGCAGAGCACTGGTGGGTTTGAACCACTGACCTTTCAATTAGCAGCCGACCATTTTAACCTCTGTGCCACCAGGCCTCCTTGGAAGAAGATAGTTTCTGGGCCAAGAGTTTCTTCCTATTTGTCTCCTGAGTTCTGTGACTCAGATAATCCCCGTGGGCTGGATGAGTCACCGCCGTGTTGCGGAGGTGCCTTAGAAAAGGTTCTCCAGGGCCAGTCAACTGCCGTGCTCTTCCCACTAGAGGGCACCTGAGCCTGGCATCACCAGGCACCCACTGCCACCATCTGGGAAAGCCCATTTCCTACGAGAAGCCTTTCCAGGTTGATCAACATGGAGTGTGGCTTCCCTGGCTCTCCCCTGCCTGGATTTTTCACTCTTCAAGGGCTTCCCTCCAAGTACTCAGAACCCCGTGTTGTACTTCTCTCTGGGCAGCCCACAGCAGCCACCCCATTTGCTAACTTCTTAACAGATGTCCTGCACCACCCTTCCCTCCTCCCATCCATCCATTATGCCCCTAACAGCTTTATCTCCCTAAAAGTCTGATGCCAAGACACATCTACGCAGGCACTAAAGGCTCAGCTGAGGACATCGGAAGACTCCTGAGCCCAATCCTCAAATTGTCCCAATGAAGTTCTCTAAACCATCTCCTAGGTTCCTCCCACTTTTTTTATTTTATTTTCAGTTTTTCCTGTGGACCTCAGAGACAGAGAATTGAGTCCATGATACTCTCCAGTTCTTTGCACAGTGTCATCATAAGTCCACAGAAGCCCCTTCCTGTTTTATTTTCCCTTCATTCTTTATCCCTGCTCTCACCCTCCTCACCTCAAATGTACCCACCACAATGCATATGATCATTGTTGTTGTTGTCAATTGCTGTCGAGTTGATATTGACTCATGGTGACCCCATGTGTGTGGAGTAAAACTGTTCCACAGGGTTTTCAAGGCTGTGAAGCAGATCACTAGGGCTGTCTTCCAAAGTACCTCTGGGTGGGTTCGAACCACCAATCTTTCAGCTAGTAGTCAAGCAGTTAACTGTTTGGTCCACCCAGGGACTCCGTAATGCACATGATATAAGCTCCCAAATAAATATTTATCACTGTAAAGTAAGTAGTAATGTTTTTGGAGTGTGTATGATGAACTAAGAAGAAAGGCCAGGCAATCTACTTCCAAAAATCAGCCAATGAAAACCCTATGGTCCAATCCACAGCTGATCAGGATGGTGAGGACCAGGCAGAGTTTCACCCCGTTGGGCACAGGGTCGCCATGAGTGGGAGATTGCGTCAACGGCAGCTAACAACAACAACCAACATTCTGTTCCAATGGTCCATTTACCTGGTCCTGCACAACTACCATACTTTTTTTTTATATGGCTTCCTAGGTCTCGGTTTCTGCTTGTTCTGTTTGAACAACTGCCTCTTGATCTATGTACAAGTTCTTCATGAGCACAATGAAGTGTTCTGGAATTCCCATTCTTTGCAATGTTATCCATAATTTGTTATGACCCACAGTCGAATGCCTTGCATAGTCAATAAAACACAGGTAAACATCCTTCTGCTTTCAGCCAGGATCCATCTGACATCAGTGTGCATCAGGGTTGTGTCCTTTCACCATTCCTATTCAATCTGTATGCTGAGCAGATAATCCGAGAAGCTGGACTGTATGAGGAAGAATGGGGCATCAGGATTGGAGGAAGACTCATTAACAACCTGTGTTATGCAGATGACACAACCTTGCTTGCAGAAAGTGAAGAAGACTTGAAGCACTTACTGATGAAGATCAAAGACCATAGCCTTCAGTATGGATTACAACTCAACATAAATAAAACAAAAACTTTCACAACTGAGCCAATTAGCAACATCTTGATAAATGGAGAAAATATTGAAGTAGTCAAGGATTTCATTTTACTTGGATCCACAATCTACACCTCTGTGACTTTTCAGAAGCAGACAGCCAGGTCTGTCTTCCGAGGTGCCTCTGGGTGGATTTGAACTGCCAACCTTTCAGCTAGCAGTGAAGTGTTTAACCTTCTGTGCCACCCAGGGGCTCCTCTGCAGTACATAATACTTGTGTAATAAACAGCTACTGAGTATGTGACTACATGATCATCTACTGCCTGGTTTCACATTTTATTAGCTCTAGTCCATAAGCCTCAATACTTTGTGAGTTGAAGGCCAGAGGCAAAATTGGAGGCATCAAGGTTGGAAGAAGAAAGGCGAGGGAAGGCACAGGAATCCCCCACTCCCCCTGCCCCAGGTAGGAAGTTGGATGTACATTCAGCCCTCTGATTGATACTGTCTATGTGCTTTCACATCTGCCACCTCATGTCAACTTCATGGAGACCCAGGAGATGATTATTATAATCCTCATTCTACAGATGAGGAAGCAAGGCTCACCGAGATAAACTAACTTGTCATATAACTAGTGTCAGAAATGGGATTTGCATCCACATTTCCTGACACCCCAATTCCATGTTTATCCCACTAGTTGGCTGCAGCAGCCTCTCCACAGAAACACAACTTCCACAGCCAGGGGGGCAACAGACAGGCCCCCATGGGACCAGGACAGTCCCTTTTGACCAAGCAATTCCGCCCCTAGGGATTTATTTTAAGGAAATGAGTGGAGATGGGTACAAAGATGTATCTATGAATGTTCGTCACGGAATAGGAATAGCCAGGCAAACCAGCAGGCAGCCATGATAAAACTATACTGTGAGGAAGGAGTAAGGCCAGGTGGTGGTGGCAAAACCAGCGGGGTAGGCAGAATCAGACGAACAGAAAATAGGCAAGAAGTCACTCCTGGCAGCAGGGACCAGGCAGCACAGACCCAGTAGCCTGGGCCTCAGCCAAAGCCTTTATAGTCATGGTTAGGGCAGGAACCAATCGCGGCCCAGAGCACAGGTCGGGGCTGCTGCTATCCCTTTGTCAGCTTCCTGTCTGTGTCACAGGTGTCTGCTTTCACAGGCTCATCCAGGTCTACAATTCTCTTTGTTCTGGGCCCTTTACAAATAGGTACTCTAATTAAGGCTTTCTGAGGTAGCAATGATGGCCTTGTAAAGCAGTCGGAGCGTTTACTGCTCACCCAGGATGGTGCTCCGCATCTACTGGGCGGGTCCCGTGCACACTATTCCTTTGCAAGGCTCTGGAGCTGCATGTAACCCAGTCCCAGTTATCTTGTTAGTGCAGGGTGAGGGTGGGGGTAGCTAAGAAAGGTAGGCACTTCCCGCCACCAGGAACTCTGTATTCATATAATCCTCCCAACAACCCAGCAAGGCATGGGTTGCCATTTATATTTTACAAATATGGAAACTAAAGAAACTTAACTTGTCCAGGTCACCAAGCTAGTAAGTGGCAGAGTTGCACTTCAAATCATCTTTGTGTCTCTAGAACCCACGCTACCACCACTTCCAATCAGGACAGGGGCCTGAGCACAGTCATGGCTCCCCTAACCTAAAGAGGGGGATGTGTCTAACAGAGACCCTCAGTGGAAGGATCCAACTCGATACTGAATGCATTGGGTTGAGAAAGATGAGCAGGGTCACAGGATGGAGGAGCAGTTAGCAGGATGGAAATAGAGAAATGCTTCATGGAGGATTCACTACCTTGCATCCCTCAGCATTTGACCAAGAAATAAATCTCTCATAATCACTGGACATGTGTGGAGAAACTTCCAGGTCCTCACCAATTCTAGTGTGGGTTAAGAAGAGAGGAGAAAAAGATCTGACTCTTCCTTGGATATTTAGCAGATGTTTGACCCAGCAAAGGCTTAGCCAAGCCTCTCACAGAAGTGCTTCAAAAATCTCACCAGCCATTCAGCTGGGATCAACTACCCCCAAGCCCCTTAGGGTGTCCCTCACCCTAGAAGTCCCTATTCTGCAGCCCACCCCCTAGAGTTCCCAGGCCTCAGAAGAGGGCCTGGGGGAGTCCTTTCCTTTTAGGGTCCATGGTTGATGTTTCTAGCTCCCTGAAAGATGTCCATAGCTGCATCACCTACCTTCCTTCAGGTCCCACCAAAAATGGGCCCCTTCTCTGTCATTCCCAAACCCCCACTTTCGGTTGTAATTGGCCCACTCACCCAGAAAACAAGTGGGGAGGGCAAAAGGTGAGGACCCCGGTAGGACGAGTGCAGGGCTATTTTTAGCCCAGATGAGTCAGCATTGGTTGTGGTTGGGTCAGGAGGCAGATGCATCAGAAGAGTCATCCTCAATACAAGGCTTGTCATAGAGACGTCCACTTGGAGAGGTTTATGTGGGTTTATGGGTTCAGATCCTTGGGTCAGGGGAAACTTCCTGGCTCAGTCCCACTGTCCATCCATCATCATCTATCCTAGTCCAAAGGGATGAGAGGATAAATTAAGAGAACTTGGCTTTAGAAACAGCCCTGTGCATCCCTACCCCCTCCCTTCTAAGAGGAGGAAGTAATGGCATTTCAGGACCCTGGGTCACCTTGCCCTCAATCTATAACACCTTTCATCCTTCCTGGTAGGTGTATACACACCAAGAACCATCTTTTGGCAAGATGCTCCATTGCTAAGCTTCCTTGCAAAAGGTGAACAATTCTCGCACCCCTATGTCAGACCCCAACTCCTCAGCCTGGGCATCATGGGGTTCTCTCCCTTCCCCACTGACCTAATGTTGGCATCTCACGTGCATGTCACCCCCTCCTATCTCCAAACACCCCAGGTCTCTGCTGGATCCCCAGAATCTAGCAGAGTTTGGTGCATAGTTGGCATCAGGAAGTATTCACAGAATGAATGAATGAATGATTACATACAGTCATCTCCAAACCAGAGATGGACTCTGTTCTCCTCTCTCCCCAACCCAGTCCCCACATACCCCAGTCCTTCTCAAACCCAGAAGCCTTCCTTGAAGCTCTTATAGGAGCTCTGGGGGTATGCCGTGCTTCTGTCCCTGCTCCCTATCCCACCAGCAATGACGCCCAGAGCTCTGAAGAGCTGCCTTGGCTTTATCCTGAATTCTGACTCAGTTTCTTCCATGTCCTAGCTGATCCGATGGCTTCTGTCATCCCAGGAACACCCAAAGTGCAGGGACCATGCCCTCTTCCCTAAATCTCTGCCCCCATTCCCATCCCCCACCAGGCTCTGAGCAAGACCAGGATAGGAGAGGCTGACCTTGACAATGAAGGAAGGAACATGCTTTAGCAATAGAGGGGAAGACAAGGAGGCCTTGAACAAGAGGTTTTAGGGACACAGCTTCTTCCATGGTGCGGGCCAAGTCTCTAGGCCTGTAGCCCAGCTACGCCCCTCCAGAAAAGGGTTCAGAGAGTAGGCTCCACCCCAGGTCACTGCACCCATGCCCTGCACTCAGAGTGCAGAATCCAACTGATGCTTTCAGGACCCCTCCCGCTTCTCCACTTCCAGAGGCAATGGGAGGGGGAGAGGCCATGAGGAAGCTTGTAAAGGGCTTTGAAGATGAAACAAGACCTGTGGCTGGGTATCGTTGACACAGCCACACTGAAGAGGCAAGCTCGGGTGATGCCAAGCCAATAAAATGCAGCTATTGTCTCTTTGCTGCTCCTTTTAATGCCACCTGCCGCTGGTACGTAAAAGGGCCTGCCACAGCACAGGGAACACAGGTCTTTGGCTCCATCTCCTGCCACCTTCTCCTCCACTGCTCAGAAACCTCCCAACCTCCATCATGACCTGTGGATTCAGCGGCCGCGCCTTCAGCTGCGCCTCGGCCTGCGGGCCCCGGCCCAGCCGCTGCTGCATCACCGCCGCCCCCTACCGCGGCATCTCCTGCTACCGCGGCCTCAGCGGAGGCTTCGGCCGCAGCGTCTGCGGGGGCTTCCGCAGCTTCGGCTACCGCTCTGGCGGCGTGAGCGGGCCCAGCGCCCCCTGCATCACCACCGTGTCAGTCAACGAGAGTCTGCTCACGCCCCTCAACTTGCAGATCGACCCCAACGCACAGTGCGTGAAGCACGAGGAGAAGGAGCAGATCAAGAGCCTCAACAGCAGGTTCGCTGCCTTCATCGACAAGGTAGGTGCTTTTGATCACACTCCACCTGAACCCTCACCCATGTGCAGGGCTCAATCTGGGCACTGAGGGGAAAGACAGAGGCCAGCACTTGCCCATTGAAGCTCCCAATCCAAAGAAGGGCAGTGATAGACACAGAAAGACATAAAGACAAGAAGAGTTATCAGGAGCTCCTAGTCTGAAGGCAGACACAAACAGAAAAAAAAAACTTAAATAAAACTAGGAGCAAAGCTATAACCTTAGTGCTGGGAGGTAACATCCGTGACTTGAACAAGGTAAGACAAGCCTCATGAGCAGAGAGCCAACATGCAGGTGGCAAATGCATTTGGAGCTAATTAACCACTTACATGGTAAGGAAGTACTCCCTATGTGAAGGTCAGGGCTAGTGAATGTGATCCTGAAAGACTATGGAATCTCATGGATCTGGATGGCACAGTGCTGTTTCTAACCACATGGTTACTTGGCTGTGGAGCAGGGGCCAGCGTGATTGGTCCAAGCCACTATACTGTGGGCTCAGGGTCCAGGAGTGAGCAAGAGACACAGTCTCCATTCTCATGGGCCTTATGAGGAGGCAGGCAGTACATGGTTTGGATGAAGTTGAAACCACCTGTAGATGTCCGTAATCAGTAGCAGTCTGCAGCTGGCGTCTCCACCAAATCCAGACAGCCCCATGTGGCAGTGGGATGAGGGACTGGGGGAGGAGGCTCGGACTTGGAAGACGTTCTGGAGCTGGGGGAGAGCTGTCAGAACCACCCTTGAGAGAAGTCATGCTAGAGAGATGCCCACCAGGAAGGACAAAATAAAATAAAAACAAAAAAGTAGTCTGCAACTCTGAAAAGCATGAGAGACCGAGGATAGTATAAGAAAGGACTTACCAGGGATATGACAAAGTGGTGAATGGAGACAGTGGGCCAACCTTGAGGCAAGGTCATGGATGTGAAACTTTCCTTGTGGCCCAATAGTCTATGATTGTTACTTATAGTGAGAGAAGAACCCCCTGTGGGGCAGAAGATCAGAGTTCAAGTTCTTCCTCGGCCATTGTGAGGTCTTGGGCAGTCAGGTAACCTCCCTGGGACTCCATTTCCTCATCTTTAAAATTGGGAGATTGGAGCACAGGGCATTCCTGCATTAACATCCCAGGTGACTATTATTCTAATTGCATTGTTGTTACAGGAGTTAAATAATTGGCCCATACATCATTTTTCAACTTTTACAGTCTGCCTTTCTAAAAACGTCAGCCTGTTCATTGTCATGCTGTGAATAGCACCTGACTTCTGGCAGTAGTAGCCGTTCAGCACGCAGGTGCTTTCCCATACAAGGGCTCGTGTAACCCTCACAATAACCCTGTGAGGTGAACATTATTCTCCCCACTTTGCAGAGAGGTAAAGTGATTTGTCCAAGGGGACATAGTTAACAAGCAGCAGCAGAGTCTGGACTCAAATGTGGTTTTGTATGCCTTCCATAATACAATGTAAATAGCTTTATAAGAGATTGAATTCAGCTCTCAAGAAGGACTTCCAGGTGGTAAACTAATTAAGCCGCAGTGTGGTTTTTTAGAGAGATAGTGTAACCTTTTCCAGGGAAGATTCTGGGTAGAGAGTTGAGGGCCACAGGTGTTGGTGGTGGGACCCCTTCTTGCCTCTAATCCTGCAAGAAAAGATTCTCAAGCTTTGCCTCTGGGCGGCAGGTGCGCTTCCTGGAGCAGCAGAACAAGCTGCTGGAGACCAAGTGGCAGTTCTACCAGAACCGCAAGTGCTGTGAGAGCAACCTGGAGCCTCTGTTCAATGGCTACATCGAGACGCTGAGACGGGAGGCCGAGTGCGTGGAGGCCGACAGCGGGAGACTGGCCTCTGAGCTCAACCACGTGCAGGAGGTGCTGGAGGGCTACAAGAAGAAGTGAGTGCAGGCAGGGTGGGCTCAGGAAAGGGCTCAGAGCACTCAGCTTCCCAAGCACAGGGGTGTGTCAGGCCTGTAGCTGAGGTCTTTACCTGAGGACAGAGAGAACCTATACTCTTTGCCCTTCCTCAAGGCACAAGGGTTGTTTGAGCTGGTCCCAGCCTTCTGGGGGATAGGAGTTCGTCTCCTTTCCCTATCAGCAGATCAGGGAAATGACATTTTCTTTGTCCATCCACTAGACTTGAGACCTCAAAAGAATTACTATTCCTTGGTCCCTTTGAAAGGAGCCCTGGTGGCATAGTGGTTAAGCGCTCAAATGGTAAACGAAAGGTCAGCGTTTGGAACCCATCAGCTGCTCCATGGGAGAAAGATGTGGCAGTCTGCTCCCATAAAAATTACAGCTTTGGAAACCCTATGGAGTAGTACTACCCTATCCTATAGGGTCGTTATGAGTCAGAATCGACTCTACAGCAATGGGTTTGGGTTTTTTTCTGTTTGATCCCTTCAAGGTCAGCTCTCAAAGTCCTGGGCATTCTTCTTCAGTCTTCTCCTTCACTCAACCAACATTTGCTGAGCACCTACCATGTGCTGCTCAGACACTGGGCTAGGCGCTGGGGGTTCAGGGTTGAGCCATTGGCATAGTCCCTGTTCTTGTGAGGTTTACAGTCTGCTGGGGAGGCAGACAAGACATAGTCCCAGTGAGCTTTAATTACAAAGTGTGACATAAGGTATGGCGGATACACACTGGGTGCTCTAAAGAAATCTGGTTTCTAGTGAGTGCTAGCTTCCTTCAGCAATGCTCTCAGCCACAGACTCCCAGACCCACCATGCCCCTTCCCCTTTCTCTGAGCTGACCTCCCCACAGAGCAGGCGGAAGTGGCAGGGGTGACTTCTCTTGGCTGAGCATAGGAGGGGCATGACAGAGGAGATCCCACTACCTGCTACAAAGTGGGGACCAGAAGAGGATCAGAGGGAAGAAATATGGAAACATGAGTGAGAAAAACAGCCATCTCCTGCTCTCTAACCACACACATTTACACACACACACACACACAACTTCCAGACCCTGACCCCACCCTACTTCCACTCCCTACAGAAAAGCTCAAAGGTGCTGAAGGGAGAGAGTACTTGCAGCCTGATTTCTCCTTGATCCCACCCCATTTCTTTTGGAGGCAGGGGGATGGAGCAAGGGTAGGTCTCAGAATCAGGCTTGTTTGCATGAGCGCTTCGTGGTCAAGGTGGAGAACTGCTCAGACAAGGTCCTGTTCTCCCCCACCCATCACAGGTATGAAGAAGAAGTTGCCCTTCGGGCCACAGCTGAGAACGAGTT